GGCAACTATTCCTGTGAATTTTTGCCTGGGATGAAATGTCCAGACAGTAAACTGGCTTTCTGATGTGCAGACAATTCCACAAAGCCCTGTTGTCTTCTAAGAAATTAAAACCTTTTGTTTTTATTTTCAAGGGAGAATCTGAGATCACTTCATAAAAGAGACATAAACCTAAATCTTTGAAATTAGAATTTTTCTGTTATAAAGCTCGTGCAATTTGAGGCAGCTCCATTTTGATGTCCAGATTAGTGCTATTTTGAAATACAGGTTGAATGAAGGTTTCTTCATTCCTAACAGTTGGCTGGCCTCTCCAAATATCAGTGTTTTGCACAGAGCAAGTGTATGAATGTCTCATTTGACCACGTTCATCTAAAGCAGCAGTGTAGGAAGAGGAGTATGGAAGTCAGTGGCTGATGTGAAAATACTATCTTCTGGCCAGTTTCCAGTGGGGTGACTGATTGTGGTGGCTTTCACTTTCATTACCACAAGACAAATTGTTCAATACGTTTTAAATGTACATCCAATCTGATAGACTTGGAATGTGAATTTAGTCACTTTTTCTCTGGGCAGGATCAATATGTCTGCAGCTGACTGGTATCTCTAAAGTTGTATATTAATTTTTAATAAATCTTCAGAATTGGTTACTTCACCTTTCTATTTTTTTTTCAACTTTAGTTTACTTCAAGTTTGACACGTATCTTTTTCAAACCATTCATCAGTGATGGTCCAGAAATCAAACATAAGATGAGCCGTAAACTTGATTTATGATCAAACAGCTTTCCTTTAAAAGGCACTGACCTATTGTTTTTAAAGAGTCTTTTTTTAAAAGTCCCCATTGATTTTAAAGAGGAATATACCAATTCTGATTAACTATGTCTGGGATAATATTCTGAATGAATATATCTGGGATAATTACTCTGAAGTGGAGGGTGGGGGTGGGGTGAGGGTGGTGAAAAACAAAAGAAAAAAAAGGGAAAAAATGGGAAGAAAAGAGAAAGAAAAAAACAAGAGGGAGGAAGGGAGAAGTGAATCCATGCATCAATAGATAATAATATCCAGGGACTAAGATTCTTGCCAAGAGACTTGAGAATTCCCTTATGCAAGAATAGGAATTTGAGCATTCTGTTCCTCCTGTATGACAGCCATGTTGCTAAGTAGTACCTGGTGGGAAGAGGATCTTCTCTTTATATTTTTAGACATAGTCAAAAGGATTTTTGTTCTTTGCATACAATACAGAACAGGAAGTGCTTTCAAATTGTGGATTTTTTTTAGGACACGCAAATTATTGCCTTCCTGCATCTATTTATAAAAAAAGAATAAAAGGTATTTAACTTATTTAAGAGACCAGATATAGTTGTGAGTTTCATAAATTTCGTTAGATTCTTGCTATTTAATAAAAATTTAGGAAGGAAGGATTAAATTATACTTTTGCTGTTCAATTTAGTAGATAACTGTGGCTCAATATACCTGCCTGAAAATAATATTGATTTTGAATAGCCTCAAACATGGCCTAGTTAAGAAATCATTCCCCATGATTTTAAGGATATGAAAAAGCTGGTAGATCTTCTCCAGAGTTTCTAAACTAAAAGAGGATTGCAGTAACTCTGGTGTTGCCCATCATCTGTGTTGCTGTCTGTGGAGAGTGTACACTGGAGAGGTGTAGAGGCAGCTAGAGAAATTCCCACCTCTGCATCAGTCCAGTGGAATTAATATGTTAGAAGGTACTTACATTTTCAGGCTAAGAAATGGATCAAATAACAGACAATAAAGACTCTGACTGACAGAAGAAAAGTTTCAGATCACTGTGGAAAATTTGATATTTTAAGCACATATAGTCATTAAAATTCTTTTCCTTGCCTACATAACTCATATTCACAGTATTTCCCTACAGTCTAAAGCTCTGGAATGTGGAGGACCCAAGGACACTTTTACTTTTCTGGACAGCTGCAGGAGTTGGCCCTGGGAAATGTGATTGCTTATAGGACAGACATACAACGGTGTGAGCTTGGTAGACATCTAAGGGAATACAATACTGGGATACTTCCCCAATTTAGAGCTTTTAATGTTGTGTTGTAGAACTAAATATTAACTCTTACTGGCTACAAACATTGGTAACTATCCCTTTAAAATAAGCACATGACACGATTAACTATCATATCTTTCATTATTGATTGGTGGGGGGTTTGTACTCCTGGGGGATGGGACAGAGTGCACTCTCAGCAAAATGGGTGACAAAGCAGAGAACAGAGATGCTCCTTCAGGAATCCTTGAAAAGTTGGAGAAAATCATGGATTCCAACAAAGGCAAAGGCAACATCTTGGTCTGGAAGCAGAATAGTCCCGTGCAGCAGAGCAGAACCTGGGACTGGCTGAGTAGGAGGAACCTTTGCATGAGTGGTCCTGTCAGCCCAGGTGGACAATAAGTGGAGCATGATTTGGTGAAACCCAAGTGCACAGCTCTTGGCAGGAATTTAGCCAGAATGCCCAGGAGGGTGATCCTTCCCAGTCCTGTAGTGTCTGTGAGGCCACACTTGGGACACTGACAAATTTTCAGGTCTTTGCTTCTCAGAAAGACAGATGTACTGAACCAAGCCCAGTGCATGGCCACTGGGTGGTGTGCAGCTGGAACACCCAAAGTGGTGAAATCTGCATCCACAGAGATGTTCAAAATGGGACTGGATGAGGTCCTGATACAACCTGCTCTATTGGATCTGCTTCCAGCAGGAAGTTGGATCACTCAGCTTCCAAAGGATCTTTCCAGCCTACATGCTCCTGTGGTTCTGATACATCAGTTAGGTGTCTAATTTATTATTTTCAGAAGAATTTTATTTGTTAAATAATGTATTAAATCTCATAAATTAAACTGGGCATAAATTTTATAATAACTTCATACTTCTGTTGAAGGATGATTTATCTCCACACATCCTGGGCCTATTCATTTAAAAGTAGAAAGCTTCTTAGAGGTCTTAGATACAGGATCATAAAAGTAATGTTGATCTTTGCTTCAACTGATAAAAATGCTGGTTTCTAATCTACTTATTCATTGCATTCAGATTAACTCCACAAGTTACTATATCTTTACTTACAATGAAGGAACTTTCCTCACAGTTTCAAAACAGATTTAGAACAACAGTGACTCAGAAGACATTATCTGATGAATAATAATTGACTTGAGAATGACAGAACTGCAAAATTAAATTTAAATTCATAATAGATGTTTAAAAAATGGCAATGTGCTGATGAATTATGAGCCTTTACAGAGAAGTTAAGAAATGGGAATGACTAATTTTACAGTTTAAGAAGAAAATATATTTTGAATCCTTTTGCCTTCCACCCACTTTAGCCTTTATGAAAAAAAAAAAAAAGAAGAAAAAAAAGAGTCAAAAAGATAAAAAAATTAACATTGGTTTACAAAAAGGTAGCAAGCCAGAGATGATGCCAAAAATCTTTCACAACTACAGCTCTCTCCAAAGCCTGTAGTGCAGAATGGTTTCCCATAGAGACTAGAAGCTGCAAGAAGAATGAACTGAGAGAAGGTTTGTGGACCAAATACGCTTGTTTTACCATTCCATTGAATTTTGATTCATTACTAGGTCTGATGGGTGAACACCTCTGATACCAACTTAGTGGGTTTATACTTTTATCATATAAAGGACAATCCCTGTAAAGCAGAAATATGAGTTGACAATAGTTCCATTCTGTAATTATTGCAAAGTTGAAATTAATGCTGTACCATTTAAAGAATGTTGATAATTTACTAAAAGACCAGAGGAAACAGAGTGAAGAGAATGCAAATAAACTTCTCCTGACAGGAGATGAGTGTGTTTAGTAGATGAAGCCCATACACATATGGGTATGTGTGTGTGTCAGTAAGAAAAGGAGCATTGATTTTGACAAGTTGAAGGGAACAAATATTCTAGAGCTATATCAAAATGTCAAATGTATTTTAAATCTGTGACAGCCCATAATCTGTGTAAAAAACTGAAGTATGAATTGATGCTGAAAAGCAGAATATCAAAATGTTGCAGGTGACTAGAAAAGTTGGAAATTTCCCATGAATATTTACTATCAGTATTAAAGGAAAAAAAAAACCACATTTTTTTTATATGACATGCACTCATCTGTCAGACACAGTAAAGAGTACACTTGCTAACAACAACAAAAGTAGTAATAATCAATGTCACTTCTATGAATTAAGCAGACAGATGTTATATTTAGTAGAATAGCATGTTTTATATATATGCATGGTTTGAACACACTTTGGCAACCTTCAGATGGTTTTTGACCACTACAAAACCCTTTCCATTCCATTATTGCATAAGTCTACCCATATTATTTCAGGGTAGACTGAAATGGAAAAGGGAATCTGTCATATTAGGAATCTTGACATTATTTCATTATATCCAGTCCTTGGATTTTGAAAACTTAGCCTTTTTCTTGTGCTCCACTTTGCAAGGTTTCAGTGTTGGGAATATCTTTTCAAATACAATTTTCATCAAATATTCAAAGTTGTTTTTCAGTAATTTAGTTTATGTTATATCTTTTAATGACAATACCTTATAGAAAAGTAATTAAATATCGTAACAAACTATGAAATTCTGGATAATATTTATAAAAAGAGAAAATTGCAATGTCAGTGCATTTTTGTTTGGATTTGTTTGTTTTAGAGAAATTGGTTTGGTTTTTTGGGTTTTTGATCTTTTGGGGTTTTTTGGTTGGTTGGTTGGCTGTTTTGGGGGTTTTTGTTGTTTTTGTTTTCTTGCTTGGTTGTTTTGGGTTTTTTTATGTGGGAGTTTAAAGAGATTACTTTTTCAATACAAGGGCCTTTAATTTTGGAGCTTAGACTTACTGTCTAAGCTAAAACATTTACCGCTATTGAAGGCACGAACATTATTGAAACATAAGAAAAACCAAAGCCTTCTAGAAATAATAGGTATAAAACCAAGTCTCAGTCTACCCAATAATAATCAGAACACTACATATGTGAATTTCTTTCTTTTCTAGCACCACTAACAGATAAACCACCAAAGCTTTTACACCCCTTGGAGAGTAAGCTAACAATTCAGGAGACCCAGTTAGGTAAGTAGAAAACATAACCTCTGTTCAAATTGTATGAAGGAATTTGATGTGTTGATGTATGATGGTAATCTGATGGCATGTTGACATTAATAATTTAATTGAAAAGACATTAAACATATGTTGATTCCATGCAGAGATATATGATATATCATCTACAAAATTGTTGTTCACAAAAAAAAAAATCTTAATAATTAATACTGAATGCTAAGATTTTGGTTAGTGATACTAGGTTTTGTCTTGCTGAAAGTCAACTGTTACAAGAATATCTGAACTTTTCTTTCTAAACTTTCCCTTTTCTGTATATTTATGCATACTTACTGTGGGATTCATTGGGATTTTGTGATTTAAGTTCTGCTTGGAAGACTTTTGTGTTTTGTTGGCTGCTTAAAGAATTGCAAAGATATTCTATAATTGCAAAGGTTGTGCTGGGCAAATCATCCAGCAAACAGTGTTATCCTAACAGCATTTGTTCATTCTGAATGCATGGATATTTATGTATAGATGAATGAAGAGAAATTTATGCATGATGAAAGCATTTTGTTTCACTTTTTCTAGTCTAATAGGTGGTGTATATGATTGGTCACCTTAGTGTCCTACTGCTGCAGAGGTAATGAAGTCTCCAAAACTGAGTGCATGAGTTACCAGATATAGCAATTTACCTCTTTTGTGGATTGGCAATGAGGGCAACTTGTAAGAAACAAACAGTAGGTTACACTGGAATTATGCTTTGGTGTCAGAACAGTAACCTATTGATAGATTTTCTGGTTTGTTGGATAAGGGAGAAAATGGAAACCAATCTGGTGGAAACAAATCTCATAGAAAAAATATATATAAATCTCATAGAAAAAAATAGTGCAAGTAAACTTCAGTACATTCTGCAACACAACATCAGAGAAAGCAGAAGGCTTGCAAATTAATTCTGACAGTCATTGGCAGGGCATTTTATGGTGATTGCCAGGTTATTGCTGTTAGTGGCCAGAGAATAACTCATCTTTTCTTTGATATTAGTAAACAATGACTTTGAATGGTTCAGACTATCCAGGTAAATTTCTGATATGCTGATATACAGGTTTTTTTAGCACTTACTATATAGAAAAGAAGACATGTAGCATGTTTCCTTCTAGAGCTGCTTTCTGTCATTCTGAAGGTACTGTTTCTGATACACTGACTCAGAAAATCTTTCCTGTATGTCAGATCTAAATGATCTTACGTTGTTTGAACACAAGATATGGAACAGAGAACAAAGTGACCGCACATTTGTTTTTTAACTAATGTTGCTTACTGAGATATTTTTCATAAAAAAAAAAAAGGAAAACCAAAACCAAAAGGCAGAACCTTTCTGGGCTTTGATGTTACTTTATGGTGAGACTATTTCAAGAAGTGTGTAATTGTTAATGGATAGATAGAGGCTTTTTGTCTATGAATTTTAGAATTAATCTCAGTTTTGATTTCTCATAAAATAATTTGAAAATGACTGGGTTTGAAAAAGATACTTTTCAGAAAACAAAATAATTGTTAGTGAATATAAAAGAGTTAACTCAAAAAGGTCACTTTCGGATACAGATGGGAATGTCTGACCATAAATTAATGTGGTTACAATACTTAGCCTTATATCAAGAAGCTACAAGAATATATTAATTTGTTGTTTAAAAGCCCATGAAAAACCTGTGAGAACTGGAACAAATGAAAAAAATTGATAGTTCCCTAACATGAAAACTGTTTTTCTGCTCTTAGATTTAATGCCTTGGTCCTGCTGCATAACCTTCAAAAGATCTGTGTTTCCCTGGGGAAAGCCAGGGTTCTATCCTGAGGGTCAGTTCATACCATGCAAAAGATGTGGAACATTTAATGATGGAGCAATGCCAAAGTTCACTTAGGTAGCTGTTGAAGCCAGGAGAATCCTACTCAGTTGAGGCTTGGGGTGACTATATTTTGTGACCAGTCTAGACACTGCCAGAAAAAGTTAGTCCTACAGAATGTATTTGCAATGGCGTGTTCGTCCCTTTCTTGGAAAATAAAAGAGTTGGTGGATGCTGGAGAAGTGGAATGGGTGGTATTCCCATTCCCAAAGAGAAGACAGAGAAAGGAACAAGGATCTTAGGGCAGTCCAGGATTGCTTTAGCAGGTCACCAGTTGCTGAGAAGCTGGAGCAATCACTGCTCTCCTCCCACATTTCTGTCCTCACCTTGCAGTCCTCCAGCTGGAGCTGGAAATGAAAGGGGTTACATGTGTCAAGGAAAGTTCTGGGAGGTCATACCTACCTTACAGGGATGTGTGTAGCTCCAGGTGCACACAATGTACTGAAAATTCAATAGTGATGGTTCACCTCCAAATCCTCCCCTGCTGGCAGGCCCCTGTGCTGGGCACACTTGTGAGGAGGACCTCAGTAATACCAGTGCATTTAAATCGAGGTGTAGCTAACTCCCAAGATATATCTAAGAATAAGTATCTTATTCATTTGGCTCCAGCACTGCTGGGTGACACAGATATGAGACACAGAGGCTTCCTCTACACAGAGCAATTAAAACTAATATCATGGGACCACAACCTATTGTATTATTATTTTACTTGACTTCCATAAAACAACAGCAGACCAGGATGTGACTGCAGGAAGGAGTTTCTCTAAGAGGTGACTGATATGGCATAAGTCAGACTTGATAAGGCAAAAGGTGAGAAACGGTTTGGAGAATCTGCTCACCTCAGTCCTAGGAACCCACAGGCTCCCATCACGCTCAAGTCATCCACAATTGTTTGAGAAAAAGGTGTCATGCTATTCAGCTGGTATTTGGGACTCTGTTAAACATGGATGCACTGCAACCAGAAACTTTAGAGATGCAAAAATTATAGAGTACAAAAATATATAAGATTATGTATTTTGATATCTCATCAGAAATATTTTTATTGGACTGAATAATAACCAGAAATTCACAAGATAGAGGTGCAGGATAAAAATCGAAGAAGTTAATTTTTCAAAGGCTTTTCATAAGAAATAACATGGGAAAGCTAAGGAATGAAGCACAAAAATCTAGATGAGGAAAGAAAGATTAGTTTTGGAATTTATGTTTTTTGTTTGTTACTTCACTTCCAAATTTGCAATCAATTACTTAATCCTGTTGCAAGGATAAGAAATGCTAATTACATTTAAGCTTTTCTCCTGTGAAGAGGGCTTTTAGACAGATATGTGACCCCACTACAAACTACTTCTCTGGAAACAACATCTCCAGATAAAATATTATGGTAAATACACTCTTCAAAAGACTGTGCCTTGCAAAGGTTGGAGATGTAAGAAGAGGAAGAGTGTTTTCAGCTCTGAGCTGCTCTATGCTTTGGTAGCAGCACAGGCCAAGGAGAGAAAAGCTGGAAATGCAGGGGGGGAAGGCATAGGAGTCAGAAACATAATGACCAAGGAACTGCATTCTACAATATCCTTCTTACCTTCAACAAGCTGAGCAAATCAAATGTACAAATCCCTGATAAGACTCCTTTGTTATAATGAAAACACAAACCTGAAAACACAAACACAGACCTGTTCAGGAAGGAGTTAATTAACATTGTTCCTTATATATCAGAAATCCCAAAACTTTGGGTAACTATATTTTTAATTATAGAGTCATGTAGATATTTATGATAGAAATATATCATATCCATTATGTGTAAATTTATTTTTAAAATTGCATTCTGGGATTTTTTTATTGGTAAATTCTGAGTCTTTTCAGTTTCACCTTTCAGGTTAGAGTGTTTTTTACACCAACGCTGTCCAATATGTGCCCCACCAAGGAAACAAAGAATTATTACCCTGACTCAAAAAAGTTTGATTTTAGTTGAACCAGTTGGTTCATGTCATGTTACTAAAGAAGACAAATGTGATTTTACATCAGACAGTGATGGATCTGGATTAAAAAATTTTACAGAACATGAAAAAACCATTTTAAACACCTCACAAGCTAATTGACCTCTGTCCTCCCCACTTGTTCAATGTGTCTCCTGATTTTGCACAGGGCTGTAATTTGACATGCCAAAATTCATCCAGAAAAAGAAAGCTATTGTTGAATTGTTTTTTGCTTAATGTTAGAGAAGATAAAAAAACAAACAAAAAATGAAACAAAACCAAAAAAACAAAACAAAAAAAATTTTAAAAAAACAAGAAACAGACCAAAAAATCGCATCCAAACCCCCAAAAAAACCCCAAAAAGTAAACAAACAAAAATTACAAGGAATAAAGTATTGCCATCACTATATGATAAAAATATTTTTTACTTATCAAGAACCCAGACACTTTCTCTGTCAACTGAATAAAGTGAATTTTCCTGAATTGTATCCAACCCAAAACATTACTTGTGACCAAATGCACAATCAATACCTGCCCTGTTTTTATATAGGGCATTATTTTGATAAAATTAAATTAACTATTACATAGTGAATTGGGGATTTCTTCTTTCTCACCCTTCCCTGAACAGATTTAAGAAAAAAAAATATTGAACTACTTTTAGTATATAATTTCCATGGTAGAAGAAAGAATCTCCCCATCAGGGACAGAAGAATGTTGGCTCATTTATAACACTGTTATCCACCAAAATTGACCTTGTTAACGATAAAAGCCATCCTTAACTAGATTAATGAAAAGATGTATAAATAAATTAACTAAAGTGATATGCAATAACTAGTAATCTGTGACTCCTTTCAGGATGAAAATTGAATGGAAAAAATATTGAGAATTTTAAGTTTTATTTCTACAGATTGCATGTAACTGGTCTATTCACTCTGCAATATGAACATATTTTTTCATTATATGAAGATTTTCAAGTTTATTTGATTATATCAACTGTCTTTAAACAAAATTGAATCTTTTTTTTGATCATATGTTTCAATTGGACACTTGCTCTTTGATATATTCTATGATTAGATTAACATAATATGGGCAACAGCTTCACATGGGAATAATTAAAACTGAAAATTCAAAATTTACTTCTTCAATACCAACTAATTTTTTTTTCTTTTTATATA